TCAAACAGAAAACTATAGATTTGCAGGTGCCAGTGGTGCAATGGTTAAGTCTTCGCTGCTGTACGCATGAGACATGAGTTCGATCCACCTGGGCGGGGCGAAGCCACTTTATTCAGTACTTTAGTTATTCTGTCAGCTGGGATAATGTGCGTCCCACTCTATTCGGGTTCGCCCTGACAGGCGGGATCAAGGCAACCCGTCTCCAAAAAGATGCAATGTGCCAACTGGGGCGTAAAACATTTGCAAATCCCAAAAACAGATTTAATTAAAGTCTCATATAATATGGTCGACCCAGAAAGATTCCGAGAACTCGGGGCAGCCATACGATGCATAATTAGATAATTAGATAATATATCATCCACTTTTCAACGAAGGATCTTCAGAAATGAGGGCTCCACCTTAGATCTAGATATCTAGATCTAGATCTAGAATCTAGATTCTAGATCTAGCTAGCCCTATAGCCCATGTCATAGTAAAACTTTGCATTGCATCGGGAACTCGAATTTCAGAGCTTTCTGCATGAAATGATAATGATCCTATCAAATAATAATAATAACAAATAATAAATAGCATTTGTATAGCGCATATCCCCGCTCAACAGCAGGTTCTATGCGCTTTACACTATATTATTACCCCAGCAGACCATAGAACACTCCGAAACATTCTCAGCTTTCCGGGAAGCATACAGTGCAAGCAGCTGATTAAGCGCTCAAACACTAACAAACTGACAAGATCTTTCGCTGTCTATAGCCGGGTATCCATTCCCACCTGGGTGAAGTGAGGAAAATGCGTGTAAAGTGCCTTTCCCAAGGACACAACGTCGGGCCTCTTACGGTTGCGAGTCCGAGGCAACCATTAGATATCTAGGCCACCGACGCCACATCTCTGAAACCATAATAAAAACAATTACGTGTGAAGACTTTTTTTTTTAAAACCAAGTATCAAATAACTTACGTCTCATGGAATATGCTGCCATTGCAAAGTTTCTCCGGAACAAGAAATATAGCAATAAGAATTTGGGCTTCAGAGTAATCGGAAACGTCACAGATAACTCCTTTGTTGGCTTTGTCGGTGCTTTTTGTTAAAGAGCACGATGAGCGGAAAAACCCGTTCGCGTTATTCAAAAATCAAGACCACTCCGGGTTTTTTTTTTAGATGTTTCCCACCACCTTTTTCAATGGAAGTCCCACTGGGTCCCCTAGCGCTGCTTACTCGGAGACTGTGCAGTCCCCTAGCGCTGCTTACTCGGAGACCGTGCAGTCCCCTAGCGCTGCTTACTCGGAGACTGTGCAGTCCCCTAGCGCTGCTTACTCGGAGACTGTGCAGTCCCCTAGCGCTGCTTACTCGGAGACTGCAGTCCCCTAGCGCTGCTTACTCGGAGACTGTGCAGTCCCCTAGCGCTGCTTACTCGGAGACTGTGCAGTCCCCTAGCGCTGCTCTGTGCCCTGGGGGACAGCAAAGAAATAACCTTTGACATTTGGATTGAGGTCAACATGCCATCATCAGACAGATCTAGACTCTACTGATACATAACTAGATCTAGACCTAGATCTAGTTACGTTAATTAGTAAGGTGAGAGAATCTAGATCTAGAACCAATCACTGTTTATTTAAGGCAAATTTATCATTTATGTCTACAGGTTTGTTGATCTATCAAGATCTAGATTCTAGATCTAGATCTAGTAGTACTTATGACATAGACTGTAGACTACACTACTACATGTATTAATAGTAGTGGCAGGGCCCAGAACGTACACGGTTGTGTCAGTAAAGATTCTTTACTTGCAGGGAATCTTTGGTTTCAGGTTCTATTTATAGAGTTGACTGGTCAGGCAAGATAACAATGATATTGACCGCTACTACCACTACCAACACCCACCTGAACTCAACTCAAAACATATTTCCAAACGTGCCCACGTAACTGCTCCCAAAGGAGATATAATATCACGAACACATCCCTCCATAATTATACAGTAACCGCCCACGACACTGCATAATTTATCAGCCAATCACCCCCGTCAGTCGTGTTATTCTGCGCCCCTGGAATTAGTATACCATGTAATTACCTAAATAAGTGAGGCTGGAGGGCGCCACTGTTCGGCCCTACGTGTTTTCTTTCACCCTGTTGTTACTGCCCGTCTGTCTTGCTTTTCTCTTGCACCATATGTTTGTTACTGTATTGATGCGTTTTTCTTTACTCAAACAAACAAATATAACAATATAGACCTATATATCTATCTATCTATATATATATATATATATATATATATATATATATATATAAATATATATATATAAGTGTTATTCTGTAACACTGGTGAGCAAACTATCAATTTATCCCGAACAATGTTTATTCGCTGAAAAGAGCAGAAAATAATGCTCAATAGAACGAAGAACGGCAAAAGTGCAATGATAAGTAAACATATCTTTTCTCGCTCCTTTTTAGGAATTTTTGAAAAACAAAGGGCCCGTACATGTTTGCAATTTTGAAAGCGGCAATTTAAGCAACATCGTGATTACATGTAATCCTTGCTGAGAATCGATATAGATTCACTGCAAATCTTTAATACAAGCACGGCGCGATATTTCATGTTAGCGAACCTCACTTTTTTCCATTTTTCTTCTTGTCAGGGATTTGTCCTGACAAAGTATTTCACGGTAAAGATACAATAACGTTGACAGTCAATGATTGTGTTCACACGACAGTGGCAACCCTGGATCACTATTCAAACTGCCTCACCCTTTTATAAAATCTGCTTCAGTAACTATTAAGTACGAGGCTTGTGCTGGAATATTCATTTACGATATCCTTCTACAATCATTAATACCCAACCCACTCGTAAGTCACGACTTATCATTATTGTGAGTTGGGGGGGGGGGGAGGCATTGTTGTGAGAGGGGAGATGAAAAATTGCTGGCAAAGAATCAAAGGTCATTCGTGGGTGATACCCAGTAAGGAATGGCTTGGATGCACGAAACCAGTTAGCTCAAAGTAATGAAATATTCTATGATCAAGGCTGTTATTAATAGTACATTTCATGTAGTTATGGTGGTGGTGGTATAATAGTGAGGAATTTTTTTCCATATACATATATACATACATATGAAACAAAGTACATGTACATTATATTATATTAGTATATATGAGCGTGCGTGAAATTGAGTGTATATGAGTGCGTGTGTGTGTGTGCGTGTGTGTGTGTGTGTGTGTGTGTGTGTGCGTGTGTGTGTGTGTGTGTGTGTGTGTGTGTGTGTGTGTGTGTGTGTGTGTGTGTGCGTGTGTGTGCGTGCGTGTGTGTGTGTGTGTGTGTGTGTGTGTGTGCGCGCGTGCGTGCGTGTGTGTGTGTGTGCGTGCGTGTGATTAACAAAGAAAAAGAAAAAAGAACAGCGGGATGCATGGAGATCCCAAGAAAGTGCCAACATCCCAGAATGCAACACCATATTATGGAAGTTTTTTTGTTGGTTTGCTTGTTCGTGTGTTTGGTTGTTTCTTTATTTCTTTGAGTAAAGAGAAGTACATCGACATGATAATGGTCTACAGACAATAAAGTTTATTGATTTTGATCCAATATCACTTTTAGTCGAGTCCACTGAGAAATGTATTCGAGAATAAAAATATGGATGACCAGTAATAAATCGGAACTGAATAATGACAAGACGGAAATAATGTTGAGTGGAAATACAAAAGCCGTTAGAAATCTCCCAGAAAGACAGATTAACATCAGTAATCATACGATTCGTTAAAAAACAAGCCTTAAAAATCTTGGGGTTCAGTTGGATTATGATATGTCTATGTCCTCCCAAATTAGCCAGCTCAGAAAAAGTATATATTTTCAGCTTTAAAAAATTGGCTGTGAAACAAATTATTTAACTAAAGCAACAGCCAAGATATTAGTAACAACACTGATTTTATCAACATTCGATGACTGTAATGCTATTATATCTGGTTTGATGGCCAAAAAACTATAAAAGTTACAAGTACTCCAAAATCAAGCAGCAAAATTGATAAAGAAACAAAAGCAATCGGCAATCAGAGTACTTAACACCAATTTTGAAAGAACTACATAGTCTGCCAGTAAAAGAAAGGATCAAATACAAAACTGCCATTTTCTGTTTTAAATGTATAAATGATTTTGCACCTATTTATCTAAAACAATCCCTGGAATTATATAATCCATCCATCAGAGCCTTTTGGAGCTCAAAACAAAATTACAAAACACACAGCGAGCGTTCCTTTTTGTTCTTTGGTCTCCATGTTTGGAACGAGAGAGAGAGAGAGAGAGAGAGAGAGAGAGAGAGAGAGAGAGAGAGAGAGACAGAGACAGACACACAGACAGACAGACAGAGAGAGCTGAAATGTTTTTAGAACGAACGTTTTTATTGAACGTTTCTAGCTATTCAAGTTTCAATTTTACTGTGACAGTTCGTGAGTTTATATTACATTCTATCTCTTTTCAATTAACGCATTGCGCCAGGCTTAGTGAGTGAGTATTATTCTCATAGAAATGTTAAATACACATGTACATATATATGCATAATGCTATGATTTATGTACACACCTGCCTATTAATTTTTAAGATGTGAGATTTTTATTAATAGAATGCGCATGTATGAGCATTTTATTTTTAGAATAATGAGGAAATGCGCAGCATAAATGCTATTTATCATTATTTATTATTATCATTTAATGAAAATGATGAAATGGTAAAGGTTTAACGCCCCTATCAACACTATAAGGTTACTTAAGAGGCGGGACCTCCTAGTTTAACGTCCATCTCCCAAAGGACCAAGCCAAAAGGGAAATTCGTGTAGTGTCTTTCCCAAGGACACAACGTCCGACCCAGCTGAGGCTCGAACCCCCAAACCCGCAATCTCACGATTACGAGTCTGGTGGTAGCATAACCACTAGGTTACCGACGCCACTTATAATTTAGTGCTGTAGGAAAAAGGTAACATAGATTAACAGCAACAACACAGGGAAAGTAAAGAAGTAGGACCTACCAGTCGCGCTCTCCGCTCCGACCACCTACGTCAATGTTTGATCCAGATCTGAAACCCGAAGAGAAAGAAGAAGTTGTCACTGAAGACATGAGAATGGAGCTACATTGTATTTATTTATGAGTTTCTGTATTTGTCTACTTGTGCCTACATACGCGGGCTGAATTATATCAGTATTATGAGTGCTTTACATGTGAATAATACGTGTGTTTGAGTTTATGTGTGTAATCACTAGTACGTATGTTGCTGTATGTGCTTTTACAAAGGGGTTGGGGGCGGGGGGGGGGGGTAAGTGAGGTTTACGAGTCACGAGCAATTGGTTTTATCTTTTGTGCTCTACTAGGGCCTGCAAATAGAGAATGGGGCTATAATCTTCTCTGTTTAGAACTTTGAAGAGTATTTTGAACTTTGAGCACTTGCAAAAGTAAAGAAAGGAGGATTTATACAGTATAGATTTATTTCAAAATTTCATCTTAATTAAATGTGCATGGGCTAAATCACGAACTTCGAGTACGAAAATGAGACAGTAAGGGGAAAGAATCCATGTCCTCGACTATTGTTTGAACATGATCTTTTACTTGTACTTTTAATTAAATTTTCAGTTACAAAACGAACATTTTTTTCTGACAGCAAAGATTGTATTGTAATTAAGAGTGGTATTATTCGTTAGAGGACGGAAACTGCTAATTACCCGGCAGGAAATTAAAGTCACATTTACTCTACTTTTGCTTCCGAAAAAAAGGCACACAGAGATTGACGTGTTCAGACAGAAGGGAAAAGAGACAAAGGGGGGGG